TATGACTGATCCAATGAGTTGTGACATTTCTGAAGGGTTGTAACATCTTTTTGATAAGGCACAACAAGTAGTTTTTCATACACTACCCTTTGTTAGCTATAAAAAGAGAGGCTTCCTCAAATTTTTAAACTACATTTAAAAAAATAAAATTCATTATTCTTCTTCTTCTTAAAACATCCTATTTAGTATATCTTCTATATTTTTATGATAAGGAACAATATGCACATACTAATACTACACATTTTAACTATAAATGGAGGGGTTTCCTCACATTTTTAAACTACGTTTTTTTTTTTTTTTTATGTTTTTTGTTTTTCTTTTCTTAAAACCTCAAGATTGATTTATAGACGTGGACCATCTCAAAGGTTAGTGAAATTAGAATACTCCCTAACATGAATGTTAAATGAATCTAATATTCCAACTAAAACATCAAATTTAGTATATCTTCTATATTTTATAACAATATTTATTTATATTATATTATATTAAAAGTAAGAACACCAACAATACAATAATAACAAAGTAACGCACTATAGAGAAGGGAGGAGAAAGTATATTTAAGAGGTGTAACTAAGAGATTTTAAGAGTGACTAATTTTTTATTTTAATAACATTCACGTTATTTTTAAAAATAGTGTGGTACGTGGTTTGATATTCACGTGCAACACACATGGGTCAAAACTAGTAATTAACAATCCTATTTACAGCTAGACTATTAATTTATTTTCTTGAAATTATTTAAAATATTATTTTTTTCATTTAATATTTATTTTGGGATTCAATGATTTTTGACTGTTCGTATTATAGTAATTAACAATCCTATTTCCAGCTAGACTTACAATTCAATACTCATTATTAAATTGTAAGTTATTATTAACCAAAAAAAATCAACAATTTGTACATCTTCCACGTAGTAATATTGATGATTTTTCATTATCATAGTTACTATGATTTTTTTAATAATTAGTCAAAATGATTTTCCATTGAACATTTAATATATTTGAGTTCTTTTACATATTTTATCCTTAGATTATAGTTTTATTTCTAAATTACATTTAAATGTTATAAATTATTTAATAAATTAAATATTAAATAGTAAATAATAAATCATCATATTAGTATACATAAATTACCACTAACTCTTCATTGTGTAAATGTATTTAACTCCCATTAATTATATTTATTATGTTTTTAACTTTCATGTCTCATCGATAATCTCAAATGAATTAATATCATATTTATGACAACTCTTTGTGTTCCTCAATGCTATCCTATAAATAGTGACATTTGACACAATAATGTACAAACTTAAACCAATTGGAAAAAAACATGAGAAAATCTCTCTGCTCTCTTCTCGTCTCTTTTTATTTGTTTAACTTAACATTATGTATGTTTCTCGTTTGTTGTTATTGCAGAACTTTCTATTGTTATGTTGTTATTATTATTGAGAATTTACCATGGTTTGTTGCTTTGTATACATTAGCCTACAATAGTTAGTTATTTTTACTTTATGCACTTTTAGTCAATTTTATAGTTAAAGGTATATTCTTTTTGTTAGGAAAACATATGTAGTTCCAATCGAAACAATGATGGATTTTCTTTTCGTAAATACCAAAGATTTGAAAGGGATAAATATGTCATTTGCAATACAAAATTTATATGAAGTATTATGGGATAAACGTGCAAAGCACGTTCCTAGATCTAGTATACACATACATGAGAAAGGAAATTAGCTAATTAAACTAGTCTGACAACTCTAACAAACTTAACTAACTTCCTAATTCTAACAACTTTAACTACCCTGACTTTACTCACTAATTCTATCACCCCCTCAAGTTGGAGGTGCATTAAGTACAGACAACTTGCTTAGAATTGTTGAATGCTCGACTCCAGTCAAGGCCTTGGTAAAAATGTCTGCTAGGTGTGAATGTGTGGAAATATGATGAAGTGCAATTAATCCTTGTTGAAGTTTGTCCCTAACAAAATGATAATCCACTTCTATGTGTTTTGTTGGATCAACAACAGTTGGAAGACTACTTGGATCTTGTTAAGAAATGCATAGCTGACAAGGGAGATGATAGACAATATATGATTCATGTCGCAAGGGAATTATGTTGAATTGAAAAGTGTTTATGTGCCCTCGCTCTTGGTCAAAATTAAATACTTAGAGGTATTCATATTAGGTTCCAATTTCAAGGAAATTTATCCGTAGTTATGAATTTGCCATTTGCCGGCCATTTGGATATGTTAAATTTCTTCTTTGCCAGGAAAGCATAGAATTCTCGAATTAACAAGAGCTAGGCCTGCAGGTTCACATCATTATAATTGATGTTATTGTACGTTTATCAATTAAAACAAAATAGGAAATAGTGTGTTCGGTCACTACAATGAAAAAGTAACAGTTATGAAAAAAAAAAACGAGGCTTGATACACCACATAAGTTCACAGAATTGGTCCAAGTTTATGACTCCTCTAAATGGATATGACAATGCATACTGGAAGAGTATTCTGCACCTAAATGTTGTAAAAAGAAAACAAGAAGAAAAGCATTTGACACCCCAAACTAAATGTCTCAACAATTATCTACACTGCGTCTTTTTGTTAGAAGTGCTTTTCAAAAAATTCAAACAATTTGTATTTGACTAATTAATTTAAAGAGTACTTTGCAAACCTTAGAGCGTGCTTGGTCAATATGTAGATGTCATTGTACAGCATGGAATAAATTATGATCGAAACTTGCTGCTATTTGAGTCTTAGGCAATGATATAATACTCCATGAATTATTCTTAGAAGACAAGAATGATGGTCCAACTTTAGGTCTAACCAAAGGCCAAAGCCATGATGATTTGAAAATGCATACTTCTTTTTAAGCTCGTTAGTTTACGTATGAGGAAATATATACTTGGCTTAAATGTGGAAACATTAGAACTGTCTCCAAGTTTTGAATATTTTTTTTAACCCGGCCCACAGCTGCTCCCCTTTGAGTGTAAATCACAAGCTAAACTTCGTTTTTTGTAAAATATCCTGTAAATTAACCACAAAACAAAGATAACTTTACTGCCCCTAATATTTGCTACAAAAAACTGGAGGCATAAACTTTTGTGTTTCATTAGCTAAATCCAAAAACCAAATATTAATTGATAGGACAACGACATTAGGGCATAATGGAACTTGATAAACAATTGCAATGGAAGTACTTGGAAACTCAATTTGTATGGAATTGAATGCACAAATTAAGACCAGCAGGAATCTTCTTCCGACTTGTTAACTACTACTGATATGCCTTATTGGAGTTAATCCCAATTCATGGATACTAGTCACTTCTAAATTAGAGCAAGTAAATAATGTCTTTCTTCAAGGGACTACTACTCGCAAGTAAAAAACTTTTTTCCTCTGCCTCTGCTGAAAGGCGGAAGAAAGAGCATGATTGTTATTTAAAGAATGGAAGTGCCGTACTTGAGGAGCTTCTTGCTTTATGCGACGGAAATTGCAGAATTCCCATCCGTTACTTCACTGCCATAGCGATACAGAATGCAATTAGACACTCTTAAACCACAATAATGGAGCTTGCCAATGAGTCTACGGTTACAGGATCGCTAGACAACCGCCCCGTTTTAGTTAGGTTCAATACATGTTCATTCAGCAATATCCACCGAGATATAGCGATTACTGCTCAGATGAGTCATCTGAAGAATGTGTTGAGACTTGTCGGTTGCTGTCTAGAATTTGAAGAACCAGTTATGGTGTCTGAATATGTTGAAGCTATATCTCTTTTCGATTTACTTTACAAAAAGGATAATGGTGATGATCAAAATAGTAAATCACTATGTTGGGGAAATCGATTACGAGTTGCATGTGAGGTTGCTTCTGCAATAGTTTTCCTACATACTGAATTTACTACGCCCATCATCCACAGAAATATAAAGCAACACAATGTGATAGTTGATCAGAAGAGTGGCATTGCTAAAATATTGAACTTCACACTCTCCATATCATTGCCTCCAGGGAAATTGGAGTTACTAGATGATGGTGCACTCGGAACACTTGGGTATGCTCCAGAATATATCCACCAGTTTATTATTACTCAAAAAACTGATGTCTACAACTTTGGGGTTCTTCTCTTTCTACTATTAACAGGAAAAACAGTGTACGATACTATGGGTAGAGTGAATTCTAAAAAATCAAAAGATTATAAAAATCTTCCAACCAGTTACTTTGTGGATGGTAATATTAAAGAAGGTAATGTAATGCATATAGCGGATCCAACTGTAATGACCCTCCAGGTCATTTCTATGTCTTGCCTTCTGTATGTCGTTTAAAGCATTCTAGCGACCCCAAGTCATGACTTGCTGGGACTGACAGTTCGGTCACCTGGTCGTTACTTTGGTTTTGGTGCGAGTTTTTGTGTTTTGGAGCTTATGAACCTTGAACGATCATTTTCGATCAAAAGTTCAAGAAGACGACCTCAGAATAGAATTCTGACGGTTCCATATGCTCCGGAGTAGCCAAATTAGGCTAGTAGCATAGTTGGAACGAGTATCGAGGCCTTCGATGTGAGTTTGGATCATTAGGCGTTTTAGCCTTTGAAATTTGGCTTAAGGTTGACTTTGGTCAACATTCTTGGAAAACGCGCTCGAATGAAAATTTCGTCAGCGCGGTTAGCTTCGAAATGTCAAGTTTGGTCTGGATTGACCTTTCTTTTGTGTCTCTAGGGTTTCGATATTTTTCGGAGCTCTTTTGTAGTTTTTGACTTAAAAGGGCATTTGGAAGTGGGACCCACTTTTTATTGAGATGACCTTTGATGGAAATTTTGACTGCGCCGTTGAGTCCGAAATATCGAATTTGGTATGTTTGCATATCTCGTTCGTGTGCACGGGGTTCCGAACGAGTTCGGAGCACCCCGTCGGAGTTTTTAGTTTTTGGAAAATTGCAAAAATATCTGCTATAATTGCAGATATATCAGCCAACTTTCCCAAACTTCAAAACCCTCATAACTCTCTCATCTCTCAACCGATTTGGGCGATTCTAAAGGCAAAATTGTGAGATTTTTCGAGGACAACGCGTTGGTGAGCTTGGATAGTGATTTGGGGTCCCCGTTTGAGGTAATTTTCATAAAACACCTGCTGCCATGACCTTTTTGTGAGCTTGATTTTGGAAGATTTTGAGACTTGTTTTCTCAGCCATTCTAGGTCCGATTTCAGTGATTTTTTGAGGCTATCTTGAGTGGTTTTTCGAGGAGAACGTCGTGGTGTTGTCGCATTTCAATGTAGACCTCCAGTTTCTGGTAAATATACTGATTCAACTGCTGTCCCATTTCTAGTTTTTGAGAAAATTTGGATTTTAGTTGCATGTTGATATTGTGTTGTTCCCGAGCCCCGAATTGTGTCCCATTTTGAGACATGAGCTGGGGGAACTGGTTAGGACCCACTTTTGAGGTTAATTCCGGAATTTCCAGCGCGGGTCCCACTTTCCCCGTTTTGACCCCGAAATTGGTCCGTCTCCGTTTGTTGTGATTTTGGTGTCTAAACGACCGTAATAACGTTGTGACTCTATTTTTGATAGCGGGGCAGCGTTTCGAGGACATTTGGAAAGGGAAAGCTCCGAAGAAGTGATTTTGGAGCGCGTGTGATCGGCTTACAGGTAGGCTACGGTTTCCCTCTCTTAGATTGAGCTTGAGAGTGTGAATGCATGTTGATTAGTTGGGATTTGGGTTGGTAGTGATTGAATCATGCATAGGTGTTTGGAAATCATGTTTTCGGCCTATTTCAAGAACTATCGGGTAACTGTGAGCATGATTTGTTTTATTAATTAACCCTCCTCGCTATGTGGAGTGCTTGCATGCTTAATTTACTATTTGTTGAAGCATTTGGGCCTTAGTTTAGGTTTGACTAGGGCTTGCCTTAGAAATACATGATGCAGATCCGATAGGCCTTAGTTTTGTCCCGATGTCGCTCGGCCGACTTAGATCTCTATAGACTGGTGTAGCAGACTTGAGCCTGATAGTTTGGGCCTTAGCTAGGCCATACGTTTGCTCTGATGATAGTTATCCTTACTTCCCCGATGTTACAACTTCAAAAGTTACGTCAGCGACACTAGTTCTGCTTCGCGATTTGAATTTGATTTTCGATTTGGTTCCAAGGACTTTCATTGATTGGCTAGGTGTGGACGGCGATCCACGGACATTTATGAGAATAGATCGATTGGGACTCTTTCAACAACTACAATGATACTTATATAGAGCATCCGGTTAGAGTTCCGGCCTCTATTGCCCAGATACTTATATAGAGCATCCGGTTAGAGTTTCGACCTCTATTGCCCAGATACTTATATAGAGCATTCAGTTAGAGTTCCGGCCTCTATTGCCCAAATATTTATATAAAGTATCCAGTTAGAGTTCCAGCCTCTTATACTTGTTATTTGTGATTGGTTACTTGGGTACTTCTTGTGAGCATCCGATTTGAGGTCCGGTCATCCGTACTGTCAGATTCTACTAATTAGGGTTGAGGTTCTGGTTCGATGTTCTTCGTTCTTGGGTTCTTATATGCAATTCTCTTTAGTTATAGTTATTCTGTGTACTCGTCGGGCTTATGGGGGTCTGTTCGGGTTTTATTTAACTTGCACACGAGTGTACCTTCTGGGCTTATGGGGTCCAGTTAGGTGTAGTTAGCTTATAGATTACTTTAATTAGTTCTTTGTACACTCGTGTGCATTCCTTTGTTAGTTAGATTTTTGTTCTTGACCTCGATTTGTGTATTCCTTCTTTTCATACTGCCTTTACTTTTCAAGTTTAGTCGGCCTATGATGCCTACTAGGTACCTGTTGTTTTGGTACTCATTCTATGCTCTGCATCTGTTTCATGATGCATGTCCAGGCACTAGTAGCCAACGTTGATCGAGCTTGGAGCAGACTGATCAGGAGACGGGGGTGAGCACACGACATTTTTTACTATTTCAGTCTCCATCTGTATATATAGACTTGTCTTTTTCCTTTCGAGACAGTCCAATCTCTGTTGTCCACTTTTGGGAGTTGTACTCATTTTGTTAGTAGCTCTGTACTAGTGACTTCCAGGTTCTGGGAGGGATCTTTATTTGTATATATGTTTTTGGTTTACTTCCGCCTGTTTATATTGTTATTTGCCTACTCTTGTTTAGTTTCTACCCTCAGACCCATTACTTGTTGTTTCGGGTTACGGGTTGGCTTACCTGCTGTTGGGTTATAGTAGGTGCCATCATGACTTGAGAAATCGGGTTGTGACACCAACTATCTTAGAAGAGCATGGAATTGAGATTCAACAACAATTGGAAGACTACTTGGATCCCATTTTGAAGTAGTGTTACTTTATTTTGGATCCGGGTCCTCTCCATTTTCCCCAAGTTTCTATTTGTATTAGTGACATATGACATAGATTAAATTAAATTGCTAAGATTTAATTCCTAAAGTAAATTTCTAACCATGATTTAGATAATATCGGAAGGGAAAATGAGAAGGGGATAATAATGTGGGGAATCGAATCCTCACAAAAAAGGTGGGAGTTTATGTACCTAGTCAACAATTGAGTTTCTAAGATTTCCATTGTTCAAAGTTTAAGATGGATGTTGAATATTTTTCCATATTTCTCTTTTCTTTTTAATGAAGTTTGATATTTCCTAGGAAATAAATTGTACTCCCTCTATTCCTAATTACTTGTCAAATTTTCCTTTTTTATTTGTCAATTTTGACAAATTAAGAAAGGACAAATTTCTTTTACCTATTATACCCTCAATTATTTATTTTGAAAAAGGTAGAATTTCTTGAAAATCTCAAGTATTTGATTCACCCACTTCATAATTAATAGGGGTAAAATAGTAAATTTACTATGTCAATTATTATTTTCTTAATAGATGTATCAATTCAAAAGTGGACAAGTAATTAGTAACATGAAAGTACTACTTACTACAAAGTTATATTTATGATTTCACAAAGTAAAGTAGTGAAAAATATAGTTTAAATTATGACATTGAATATTTTCTCTTAATGCATTACCTCACTAATTAGCTTAATGGAGTATAGAATAGAGGGGTAATAATAAAAAAAGGTCAACTCCTTAACATAAACCAAAATATGAATTAATTAAGGTGCCGTAATGGAACTTGATAAACAATCGCAATGAAATGAAAGTGCTTGGAAACTCCTTTTTTTGTCATTTTGTGTGGAATATAATGGACGCGTCAAAGTAAGAGAGCAGCAGGAGGCTCACAACTTGCTTATTCATTCTCACTAGTGATGCCTTTTTGGATCTAGGGTGTGTTTGGTATGAAGGAAAATAGAAAAGGTTTTCCAATTTTCTCATGTTTGGTTGGGTTAAATGTTTTGGAAAATGTTTTCCAAATCAACTCATTTTCCTCAAATTTAAGAAAAATGACTTCCCTTCAAAACTTATGGAAAACATTTTTCAAAACTCTCTTCCAATTACTTTTTTGTTGAAAAAATCAATTTATTTTGTCCCTACCCTCAAACCTCCCCCCAAGCAACCCCCCTCCAAAAAAATTAAATAATAATTTTAAAGCTTGTTTTTAAATTCAATTTTTTACCCCACCCCCTCCCAAAAAAAATATTAAAAATTGTTTTTAAAAGATATTTCTAATTTCAATTTTTTATTTTTTT